GCAGTGGAGTGACAACAGTTTACTGCAGCCTCGACCTCCCAGACTCAAAGTGATCCTCCCACCTCAGCCTCCAGAGTAGCTGGGACACAGGCATGCGCCACCATCCCTGATGAATATTTTTATTTTTTGTAGAGATGGGATCTCCCTCTATTGCTCAGGGCTAATGTTGGTTTTCTGGGCTCAAGTGATCCTCTTGCCTCCCCAAGTGTTGGGATTACAGGCGTGAGCCACCCTGCCTGGCCTGTACTCTTTCTTCACCTCCTCTCAGAAGCCTTCCTCAGTCTCTGGCTCTCAGGTTGCCTGTGCATACTTGTCCTGAAGCTGCTTTCCCACCTGTGTTCCCAGGGCAGAAAGTGGATGCCCATGGATGGTTTGTCAAGGGAGTAAATTAGCCTTTTGCTGAATATTCTTTATTCTCTTGCTGCAGGGCAGGGGCCCCTGCATCCCTTTACCCCTCTAAGTCTCCTCCTCCTCTTCAGAGCCAATGAGCGTTTGCTGAATAAATGGAGGCATGAATGTCTGAACAAGTGATTTCTGTTTATGCCACGGAGAATTGGGGGTTTGTTCAAATGTGTAGTGTCTGTTCTTTCAGAGGGATGGGCCAGGCCAGGAAGGTGAGTCTCGGTTTCTGAGCTGGGTCTCGCCCAGGACCTTCCAATGATGGCATGACAGGAAGTGGGAGCAGGTACCTGCCACGTCAGGACATGTGTCTACATCAAACAGGAATGAGCAGGTGAGGGCCATCCTGCCGCTGCCATGGAACCCAAGAGTGGGTGGTTAGCCCATACACAGGGATACAGAGACAGGGTGGGCCTCTCCCAGGCAGGAAAGAAGAAAGTGAAACCCCTGCCAATAGCCTTGTGTCTGGCAGGCCAGGGCTTTGTTATCCTGGATGGAGGCCTTCCTCTGCTCAATAGGCTCTGTGGAGGGGAAGTGGCCCATGGAGGGGCTGGGCATCAGGTCTCCTGCGACCTGTCCAGAGGTCAGATGTTTGTCCTGGCAGCTTCTAGTTCACAAACTTGGTTGGGGAGTGCTCAGTATTGGCCGTTTGGGGAGGGGCTTGAGGAGACCCCCTATCCCACTGATACCCCAGAACTGTTTGCCCCTTACTCCAGTCCAGTGGTGGCAGTGGAGGTGGCAAGGTCATCCCCTGCCACCCTTCACCCGAGCCATTCTTCTATAGCAGTTATAATTGTATCAAATGTGTGTGAGACGTCAGCTCTGGGAAGGCAAGCACTGTGATTTATTCTCCAGTGGACAAGGGCTAACACTGCTCAGTGTCACTTGGATTCATAAATGGAAAAATCAGACACAAGTCAAAATCTTTACAACTTACTAGTTTTGTGAATCTAAGGTAACCTAAGTTAGACTTATTTCTAAAATAAATATTAGACTATTTCTTTTTTTATTTCTTTGAGACAGAGTCTCGCTCTGTCCCCCAGGCTGGAGTGCAATGGCATGATCTTGGCTCACTGCAACATCCACCCTCTGAGTTCAAGCAATTCTAGTGCTTCAGCTTCCCAGGTAGCTGGGATTATAGGCACCCGCCACCAGACCTGGCTAATTTTTCTATTTTTTGAGTAGGGACGGGTTTTCCCCATGTTGGCTGGGCTTATCTCGAACTCCTGACCTCAAGTCATCTGGCTGCCTTGGCCTCTCAAAGTGCTGGAATTACAGATGTGAGCCACCGCATGCAGCCTATTTCTTTTTTTTTTTCTTTTCTTTTCTTTTTTTTTTTTTTTTGAGACGGGGTTTTGCTCTCGTTACCCAGGCTGGAGTGCAATGGCACGATCTCGGCTCACCACAACCTCCGCCTCCTGGGTTCAAGCAATTCTCCTGCCTCAGCCTCCCTAGTAGCTGGGACTACAGGCGTGCGCCACCATGCCCAGCTAATTTTTGTATTTTTAGTAGAGACAGGGTTTCACCATGTTGACCAGGATGGTCTCGATCTCTTGACCTCGTGATCCACCCGCCTCGGCCTCCCAAAGTGCTGGGATTACAGGCTTGAGCCACCGCACCCGGCCGCAGCCTATTTCTTAAATGCAAAATGGACACAAACCCTCTGAGGATGAAATAAAAGATTCAACAGGATGGGTAACGGTGGCTCACATCTGTAATCCCAGCACTTTGAGAGAGAGGCTGAGGTGGGAGGATTGCTTGAGCCCAGGAGTTAAAGATCCTGTCCAATTGAAAAAAAAAAAAAAAAAAAGAAGTAACTTCACAAATATTCTAAGCTCACTTCAGCCCAGGGATCTTGGCAGTGCAGTGTACACTGGTGGGAGATGGTATACAGAGATGTTTCCCTCTTAGATGGGCAGCATTAATGGGCACAGGCCCTGGGAAGGGCAAAATATGGCCTGGGACACTGGGAGATGGCTAAGCTCCCAAGGAAATCGGTCACTGGCAGAAGGGTGGCTTTCTCTAGGCTGGGCTGTCTTACTCTTAAAGCAGCTCTGAAATTGTCTAGCCAAAGAAAAGGGCTAAGAATCCAAGCACCAGGCTTTTGGATGGATCCTGGCTTACATGAGCTGTTCTCATCCTTGCTTACATCTAAGGTTCTAGTACTAAGGATTAAGTACTAGATCTAAAGCATGCTGTAAGCTGCCCCTCATCTCTCCCCAGAAATAGGCAGTTCCTAAAGAGCCATGAAGAGGTACCCCGTTCTCCAGGCTCTGCTCCCAGCCCTGGCATCACCACCAATTGGCTGAGGGAACTGGAGTAGTTCCTAACTTCGTGGAACCGTTTCCAGTGTAGAAAAGCATCTGGGGTGGCAGGAACACTGAAGTATCCTGTGTTGATGGGATGGATAGGTGGTCAGAGGGGCACCAGGACAGTTATGTACATCCCGGGCTCAGTCACTGTAAGGAGGACCAGTCATTTCTTGGAGCCTATAAGGGCTATGCCAATCCCATTCTCTCCCAAAAGGGACCCCAGAAACCAAGAAAGCCAAGAGCAGGCAGGCTATTATATATCATGCTTTTAATACAAACTTAAAAAAATCTGGAACAATAGAAACTGTACAGATTTGATCTTTTTGTTTTGTTTTTAAACTAAAATCTCTAAACACACCAACGTCCCATTCCAAAATATTGCACAACATTCTGAATACAAAACCCTTGATTGTATTCCTCCTTCACTAAAGAAAAGTTCATGACCCTGCTCCCCGGGCTCCTCTCCAGGCGTGCCTCAATGCCCCCTTCCCATCCCTAGGGAGAAAACTAGAGAATCTATAACTCACTGCATTGAGAAAAAGACATCATTCTGGACTAACAGTTTCCATTCTTCACAAGATAATCCACCTTTTGATTTGTTCCTGGGAAAGAGGGATAGACAGAGGATGGGGAAAGGGGAGAGAAGGTTTTATTCTCCTCTTTTTTTTAAAGTTTGTTTTTCCTGAAAAAATATGTTTCTCTCATCTTTTTAAGAAAAAATCTTGAAAAGAAAAAAATTATGTTTTTTACGTTAGAAATATACATATATTATATATACCTCTTACATTTTACAAATGTAGCAAATTATTCAATACAAACGGACACCAAAAAATGTAAAAAATAAAAAAAAAAGTTTTCCTATGAAACCAGGTAAATTAGTGCAGATTTCTGTTTTTGTTTTCTTAAAAAAAATAAAATTGAAGCAAAAATGCCTAGATTTGAGACAAGACAGACTGAACTGGGCCCAAGAGCCCAGCACTGGAGTCATGCTCCTGAACACACGTTTTTCTCCATATTTCAAAAGACACAAAGGGGTTGGCCTCCCCCCTCTCCCTACCTGTGAGCAACAAGCCGACCTGGTGCGGGTGGGCGCCCGTGTGTGTGGATGGGAGGAGGGCTAGAAGGGGACGTAAGGCAGCATCCAACCTTTCCCAGAGAGAAGCTATCTGCTGGGCCTGTCACCTGTGTGGGAGCTGAGGACAAGGGAAAGGGTGGCTGAGACTGGGCTGGCTCCTGAGAAGTCTAGGGGAACAGATGGTGCTGGGCTGAGAAGCCAGGGGATTGCCTGCCTGCCAGGGGAGGTAGAGCTGGTGCCTACTGCAGGGAGAGAAGGCTGGCAGTGCCGGCCTGGGTTGGACCCACTGCCATAGCAGTTGCCTACTTGGGGTCCCTGGGTAGGATGGAGTGAGTGTGCTGCCAGGGGCTTTGGTGATGAGACCCTGATGCCAAGGGCCTCACTTTGCAAAAAGACAAAGTTTGTGACCCTGCTCCCTTGGCTCCTGTCCATGCTTGCCTGGCCTCCTAGAGTGTGAGGAACAAGCCCCCTCGTGGCAGTGGCAGAAGAGCAGGCGCTCTCCTATGATCCAATGCATCACCCGGGAGTGCTGAGTCCCTGTCAGGACACCACTCCTCACAGCATCAACGGTGGGGTTGGGTCAGGGCTGTGAGAGGGGACGGCAAGAGGTACCGAGAAACTCTCAACCTGGCAGGGGCACAAATGCACTAAAATAACACCTCCAACCAAGAGACCCAAAGTCTCAACTCCAGGCTCAGGGCTGCCTCCCACAGACACTAACGCCAAAATTCCATTCTGCCTCCCTGCCCACCCCTAAGGGTGCTCAGGTGAGCAGTTCTCACTGAGCTAAGGTCACACAACAGGAGGGTTGAAGTCCAGGGATTTCTTTTTTTTTTTTTTTTTTTTTTTTTTTTTTTTTTTTTTGAGACGGAGTTTCGCTCTTGTTACCCAGGCTGGAGTGCAATGGCGCGATCTCGGCTCACCACAACCTCCGCCTCCTGGGTTCAAGCAATTCTCCTGCCTCAGCCTCCTGAGTAGCTGGGATTACAGGCACGCGCCACCATGCCCAGCTAATTTTTTGTATTTTTAGTAGAGACGGGGTTTCACCATGTTGACCGGGATGGTCTCGATCTCTCGACCTCGTGATCCACCCGCCTCGGCCTCCCAAAGTGCTGGGATTACAGGCTTGAGCCACCGCGCCCGGCCGAAGTCCAGGGATTTCTTATAGGCATCAAGGGCTTGGGTATTCCCTCTGCCCTTCAGAGCTAACCTAGTTTTTTTGGTCAAAAACAAAAGGGCAGATCCCTCCACAGTCTGCAAACCAGTTCCTTCTGCAGTGCTTTCTATGGGAGTGTCTCGGGCTCAGCCACAGTGGTGTCATCCCGCCACACACACTGCCCTGCAAAAGGACTGCCAGTACCCCCAGCCTCACACATAAAGAAGCACTTGTTGCAACCCAGAATCACATGAAGAAGGGAAGTTTCACATGGCTTGGAATCCTTTAAAAAAGGACAGCAAACCAAATACACATATACACACACACCCCTCCCTACCCACAACCTCTGGCCTGGGGAAGAAGGAGCCACGTGAGGGAAAGAAAGGCCACATGCATCGATAGCCAGGTGGCCAGGGCCATGGTGATGGTCTGGGCCTGGAGGGAATGGTGGAGTGGGGCCACAGGACAGAGATGAAAGGAGTTCCACTAGACAACTGCTAACCTCCCTGTAGTCACAGACATCAGCTCTAAGGGGAGGGTGTCAAGTGGCCAGCTGGTAATTCCCTGTGGCCCTGCCTGAAAGGGAGCGGGGACTGGGGTCGGACCTATCCAGGTGGCAGGGCCCGAGAAGGCCTGCTGAGGTTGGATGGCTTTGAGTGCGAGGATAGCTGGGTGACAGAGGCAGTGACATGAGCCAGCCTCTCCCTGTTTCAGGGAGGATTAGGCTTCAGCTGCAGCTCTTCCTTCCCTGTGAGCTTGGACACACCAATCCTAAACCAGGAGTGTGAAGGAGGAAGGGAGGAGCAGGGAGCAGCAATTCACATCTGGACCATTCTTAGCACAGGAAGCCACTCATTAAAGATGTTATATAGAAAACTACATGTAAGAAGAAGAAAAAAAAAAAATATAAAACCCAAACCAACCAAATAAATCACAGGCCGGTGGGCGAGCGGTAGGGGGGTGAGTGAAACACACTTCGGTGCTTTGTGGGGCCCTCCCATTCCGTGCCTGGGCTGCATCTTTTTTCTAGAAGTGAGAGTGAGAAGATCGAAAATCTTTTTGTACATTTTTCTTTCCTTTTTTTGGCCTTTCCTTCCCTTTCTCTTTTCTGTGGTCTTGGGTGCTCCTGGCCCTAGGGGCAGGTAGATGGTCAGTTGGCCAGCACCACGGGCTGGAACGGCTGGCTGGGATACTGCATGGTGTTCAGGTTGTAGCTGAGGCCTTCCACGAAGGGCGTCTTCTCCAGGAAGAGGCTGTTGGCACCACCTCCAAAGACCTGGGCCATGTCAAAGCTGCTGCTGTTGCAGGTGCCAGCCCCACTGCCTCCAAAAGGGCCTGGCGTGCCACTGCCCTGGCCATCGGCCCCATCAAAGAACAGGCTGGGTGAGCCACCACCGTTGTACACAAACTCCTTGGCATTGGGCGAGAGCTGGGATTGAGGGGCTGGGTTGGCTGTGATGAAGTTCAGTGAATGCATAGACAGAGAGAGGCTCTTGTGCTTCAGCAGGCTGTTGGTGGGTGAGCGAGCCATGCGAGGCTGCTGTGGTGGCTGCTGGCCACCCACCCCACTGCTGGCTACACCCCCACCACTTGCTGCCCCACCCCCCTTCTTCATCTTAGTGGAGCCAAATTTGGTGGCAGCGAAGGAGGCGGTGGTGAAGGTGATGGGCTGGGCAGAGCGGGGAATGAAGGTGGGGCTGGGTGACTGGCCAAAGGATGGTGATGGGGAATTGGACAGGGAGCTGTCCTGGCTGCCAATGGGCACAAACACCTGGGCATCAGGGTTGAAGCTGCTCTTGATTTCCTTGTCCAGCTCTGGGGCACCACAGCCCTCACTGTCATCCAGGTACAGCACTTTCACAGCTCCCTTCTCACCAATCTGGTAGGACACTTCAAAGGGATCAATCCAGACGCTCAGCTCCTCAGGCACATTGGCCCGCACATCTTCTACTGCTAGGCCACTCCGCTTGGCAGCCAGCTCTACCACAGGGTCCACCATCTCCCCAATGTGAACACAGCGGAAGCCAGAGCCCTTCAGTGGCTTCTCAGGGTACCAGTGGCCTTCATATTTCTTTTTCAAAAGCCGCTCTAGCTCTTCCCCAAACAGGTCTGCCCGGCGCCGGGGCAGCTTGTTGTACAAGTAGGAGATGATGAAGTTCAGGGCCACTTTGATTTCTAGCTGCATGGTCCTTTCCTAGGCAGAGAATCAGCACAGGGCACGTGCACAGCCTTGGGCTCCAGACAGCTCTGGGAAATGAGGATAGGCACCATGAGAAGATATGCAGAAAGCTGGTGGTAACCAACAGCTAAGGATAGACAGAAAAGCACCAACTTTGGATCACACAGACCGAGAAACTTATTTCTGCCCCACCAGTGACTGCGGGCCCTAGTTTCCTCATTAGTAACATGAGGCTATCATGAAGTTAAGTTAGTTCAAGATATAAACTGCCTCACAATGTACCTGGCAATTAAAAGGTTACTTGATAAAGTTAGCTACTATATTTAAGTAATTCTCAAGAAATAGGAAAGCTGTGTTTTCCACCATCTTGAGAATTCAGGTCACTGTATGAATGACACTAAAAAAATCAAGTCCCTAAATCAGGCGGAGAAGAGAAGGCTCTTGCTGTCTCCACAATACCTTGATAAAGTCGTGCTCCCAAACTGTCAGACTAAGATGTAAGTTTAAAATCTTTGGTTGTCCTCCTTAAATGAAAAGGGATACAGGACACTGTACAGAAAGGAGCACTGCCAATTTTTCACTGGGGGCCTGGACTCCAGTCACATCCATCTGTCATCCTGGGCCCCATGGGTGTGTATGCTGTCTGGCTCAGTCCCGGTTTGCAGAACTGATTTAAGAACTCCACAGAATGGGCCGGGCGCGTGGCTCATGCCTGTAATCTTAACACTCTGGGAGGCTGAGGCAGGTGAATTACCTCAGGTCAGGAGTTGAGGGCCAGCCTGGCCAACATGGTGAAACCCTGTCTCTACTAAAAAATACAAAAACTGGCTGGGTGCAGTGGCTCATGCTTGCAATCCCAGCACTTTGGGAGGCCGAGGCAGGTGGATCACCTGAGGTCAAGAGTTCAAGGCCAGCCTGGCAAACATGCTGATACCCATCTCTACTAAAAATACCAAAAAAAAAATTAGCTGGGTATGGTGGCAGACGCCTGTAATCCCAGCTACTCAGGAGGCTGAGGCAGGACAATCACCTGAACCCTCCGGGAGGCGGAGTTTGCACCATTGCACTCCAGGCTGGGCAAAAGGGAGGCTGAGACAGGAGAACTGCTTGAACCCGGGAGGCAGAGGTTGTAGTGATCCAAGATCATGCCATTGCACTCCAGCCTGGGCAACAAGAGCAAAACTCTGTCTCAAAAAAAGAAAAGAAGGCCGGGCGCGGTGGCTCAAGCCTGTAATCCCAGCACTTTGGGAGGCCGAGGCGGGTGGATCACGAGGTCGAGAGATCAAGACCAACCTGGTCAACATAGTGAAACCCCGTCTCTACCAAAAACACAAAAAATCAGCTGGGCATGGTGGCACGTGCCTGTAATCCCAGCTACTCAGGAGGCTGAGGCAGGAGAATTGCCTGAACCCAGGAGGCGGAGGTTGTGGTGAGCCGAGATCGCGCCATTGCACTCCAGCCTGGGTAACAAGAGCGAAACTCCGTCTCAAAAAAAAAAAAAAAAAGAAAAAAAAAAAAGAAAAGAAAAGAGCATGAGCCCCAGGAAAAAGGCAAGACCTGTCACAACCAGAAATGTGGACCAACAAGGGAATTGCTGATTGGAGGCTGCCCCAGGGAAGCAGAGGACAGGAGTGGGAATCTCTGTAGTTTCTGGTGAGAGTGTAAGTGATGAGGGTGGCAGAGGAAAGAAATTTTCCATCACCCTGCAGCCTCCAGCAGGGACCCATCATCACTCAGTCTCCCAGGGACTGTCTGACCACCTGTCCTCGGCACCAGATCAGATTTATCAAGTGTTTGGAGATGCTTAGAGAAAAGGCAGCCCAAGATAAACACCAGATTGTTATTTTGGGATTCTCTCACAGCCAGATCCCACTGAGGTCAAAAAGGTTTACTCCCTCAGCCTGAGCCAGCTTCATGTCTCAGGAAGATGATCTGTGAGGTCCTGTGAGCCTGTGATCCTAATCTCATTTTCTCCAAAAGGGCAGCTCCAGGGTTCATGCTGGGGGAGAAACTGAACTGAAAGAACTGGCTCTGAGGGGAGGCAGAGCCAGAACATGCTCCTAGCCAGACCTCTGGGCAATGCTGTACTGCTGAGCTAAGCACAGAGACATGACTGCTCTATGATCTGTCTCTATGCCCTGTCAAGGGCATCTTCTGTCCTGTTAAAGATTCCGGGCTGGATCTTGATTCAAATCCTTTCTGGATCCAGTTCGAGTATCCAGGTACTAATTTCAGGCTGGGGATTTTGAGTTTTCTAAACACCTGCCCCAACACATTTCCCTGTAATTCTCAGGCCTGGGCCCCTGGCTCTTAAGGGACATTTTAATTTAATTTATTTATCTATTTATTTATTTTGAGACTGAGTCTCATTCTATTGCTCAGGCTGGAGTGCAGTGGCACGATCTCAGCTCACTGCAACCTCTGCATCCTAGGTTCAAATGATTCTCCCACCTCAGCCTCCCGAGTAGCTGGGATTACAGGCACATGCTACCACATCTGGTTAATTTTTGTATTTTCAGTAGAGATGGAGTTTCACTGTGTTGGCCAGGCTGGTCTCCAACTCCTGGTCTCAGGTGATCCACTAGCTTCAGCCTCCCAAAGTGCTGGGATTACAGGTGTGAGCCACCATGCCTGGCAGTGTGTGGTGTGTGTGCGTGCATGTTAGAGATGGAGTTTGGCCATGTTGCCCAGGCTGTTCTTGAACTAACATGTTCAAGCCATCCATATGCCTCAGCCTCAAATGTCTATTCATTATCAACACAGATCAATTTCAGGGCTTTTTTGGGTTTAAAAAGTAAGAATAATAAAAAGAATAAAGGGCTTTCTGTTTATGAGGATCAGGCTCATCAGCAGATACAAATCTAGCCACCAGAACCACAGGCCTTCTCTCAGGAATGGAAGTCTGAAAGGGCAACGTGGTCCATAGATGTGTCAAACATGAAGCAGACTTTAAGGTGTGAAGAGACAGGCGTGATGGCTCACACCTGTAATCCCAGAACTTTGGAAGGCCAAGGCGAGTGGATCACATGAGGTCAGGAGTTCAAGAACAGCCTGGCCAACATGGCGAAATCCCATCTCTACTAAAGGCACAAAAATTAGCCGGGCGTGTATCTGTAATCCCACTACTCGGGAGGCTGAGGCAGGAGAATCACTTGAACCTGCGAAGCAGAGGTTGCAGTAAGCTGAGGTCGAGCCACTGCACTCCAGCCTAGGTGACGGTGAGATTTTGCCTCCCAACCCCCCAAAAAAAGGCTGTGAGGAAAGTTGATACTGGTTGTCTAGAGTGGAACCTGGTGTTAAAGACAGTATTTCCAGCCGGGCGCGGTGGCTCAAGCCTGTAATCCCAGCACTTTGGGAGGCCGAGGCGGGTGGATCACAAGGTCAAGAGATCGAGACCATCCTGGTCAACATGGTGAAACCCCGTCTCTACTAAAAATACAAAAAATGAGCTGGGCATGGTGGCTCGTGCCTGTAATCCCAGCTACTCAGGAGGCTGAGGCAGGAGAATTGCCTGAACCCAGGAGGCGGAGGTTGCGGTGAGCCGAGATCGCGCCATTGCACTCCAGCCTGGGTAACAAGAGCGAAACTCCGTCTCACAAAAAAAAAAAAAAAAAAAAAAAAAAAGACAGTATTTCCAAATACTGTCTAAAAGCATTTGATTCCAAATACTGTTTGAAATCTAAAACAGACTGAAATCAACCTATGATCTCTCTCTCCCAAGGCACCATGTGGCCTCTTAAAATGCACCTCTTGGTATTCCACTGAGAGCAAAGAGCTTCTACACCTTTCGAGGCCTCCTCAAACCTTGCTGAATAATTGTCTTCCAAGTTAACTACCCTGAACAGTTCAGCCTCAAAATGGGAGCATTTTAAATGCAGGACAAAGTCATTGGGAAATAAGCCTCCCACCCCAAAATACAATAGAACCACTGTCATCAGCCCTGCCTAGCTAATCATTTTCTGCAGCATAAGCAACTAAAGCTGCACACCAATTTATACCTCAGTGATGTTGCCGCACAAATAAGGAAGTATATAATGCCACCTTTGCCTCTTAATTAGAGAACAGGCCAGACCAGATGGCTGTGGGGTGGAACCTTACAAAAATGATGGACAACCAGAATGAGATTTTCTGCTCTATCAGCTCAGGCTCTAATTTTGACTGCAAGAAGCTTATGGAGCAGAGGATTAAAGCACTGGTGCTAGCTTGTCTTTAGCTAAAGATAGGAGTGGCCATTCAGAGGAGGTTGTTCATTTTTTAAAAAGGTATGAACAAATTCTAGAGCTTACATATAAAATATTTATGGAAGTATAGTAAGATTAGAAAGCTTAGAAATAACTACCTATCAATAAAGGGAACAAGTAAAGGGATTCATTAAGCGACTGCAGAGTACACTAAGATCTTTTCTAACCCCAATGTAGGCACAAATGGCCAAAAAGGGAGCAAAAGAATAAAAATGATGAGGTGTTTAATAGCAAAATCTCCCTTTTGTCAACCTATTAAAAAAAAGCAAATATGGGACAGGCACAGTGGCTCACAGCCGTAATCCCAGCACTTTGGGAGGCCAAGGTGGATGGATCACCTGAGGTCAGGAGTTCGAGGCCAGCCTGGCCAACATGGTGGAACCCTGTCTCCACTAAAAATACAAAATTAGCTGGGTGTGGTAGCAGGCACCTGTAATCCCAGTTACTTAGGAGGCTGAGGCAGGAGAATTGCTTGAACCCAGGAGGTGGAGGTTACAGTGAACCAAGATTGTGCCATTGCATTTCAGCCTGGGTGACAAGACCCAGAGTTCGTTTAAAAAAAAAAAAAAAAAAAAAAAAAAAAAGGTGGGCTGGGCGCGTTGGCTCAAGCGGTCAAGAGATCGAGACCATCCTGGTCAACATGGTGAAACCCCGTCTCTACTAAAAATACAAAACATTAGCTGGGCATGGTGGCTCATGCCTGTAATCCCAGCTACTCAGGAGGCTGAGGCAGGAGAATTGCCTGAACCCAGGAGGTGGAGTTTGCAGTGAGCCGAGACCGCGCCATTGCACTCCAGCCTGGGTAACAAGAGCGAAACTCCCTCTCAAAAAAAAAAAAAAAAAGGCAAATATGAGAGCAAAATTCTGTCCAATTTCACTAAGTACCTTATCCTCACTTGTTTACTTCCAGCATCAAAGTTAAACTTGGATTCCGATCCCTTGTGCTGACTTACGTTTTTAAAGAGTAGGTGCTTAGGAGAAAGACGATGGGGGAAGTGGGGCATGAAGCTGGGAAAAGGCCTCAGTCAGTGTCAGTGGGATTCCAGACAGAACCTCTGACAAAAATGTGAGGAAGGTGCCTAGGGCCATACCACCCTGAATGCACCTGATCTCGAAAGCTAAGCAGGGTCAGGCCTGGTTAGTACTTGGATGGGAGACCGCTGGGAATATCGGGTGCTGTTGGCTTTTGGCTCTTAAAAAACAAACAAAACAACAACAACAACAACCTTCTTGAGACTTTGTTCAGTTAAAAAAAAGAAAAAGAAAAAAATGTGAGGAAGGGGTGTGTGTGTGTGTGTGTGTGTGTGCGCGCGTGCATGCATGCTCTAATGTCAGAGTGAAGGAAGTTCTCCCCACCCCCACCCCGAGACGGAGTCTTGTTCTGTTGTTGCCCAGAGCTGGTTCAAGCGATTCTCCTATCTCAGCCTCCTGAGTAGCTGCGGTTACAGGCCTGTGCAACTACGCCCAACTAATTTTTGTATTTTTAGTAGAGCAGGGTAGTTTCACCATGTTGGCCAGGCTGGTCTCGAACTCCCAACCTCGTGATCCGCCTGCCTTGGCTTCCCAAAGTGCTGCAATTACAAGTGTGAGCCACCGCTCGCAGCTGGAAGATTTTTTAAAAGAAAATTGTGTTTCAAAGAAGGAACGGAGGGATACCGGTGACGGAATCCAGTGAGCACCAAACCCGAAAAGATATTCAGACACCTCTAAGCCTTAACACGCGAACTGTCCTACAATGAAGGACTACGGGACTCAACTGAGTGTGGAGGGGCCAGCAGGTGTCACAGACCGGGTGAATGCGAGTGCCCTGGCGCTGCCTGGGGAGTGAGAGCCAAACGCAGGCAGTTCCTCTTTTTAGTGAGACCCAGGATCCGCCCCAACTCGCTGGTCCCAAGGGCAGCGGCCCAGACGGGGAGGTGTGGGTTGAAAGGCTTCCAGGACTGGTGCCGACTGACTGCACCACCACGCCCAGTCTCACATCATCTCCCCTAAACATAGACTGGTCAACCCTAGGTCTGACTACAAGGCCCCTTTCGGCTAAGAAGATCCTTTCTAGGGCGCTCCATATTCCTCAGGAGCCAGGAAAACTCCACTCAACCCCAAAGCAGGTGGGGAGGCCGGCGGCGAGGGCACGCTCTGCACTCTGGGAGTTGTAGTCCTCGAACGCCTCCGGACCCGGCGGCAGCAAGTGACCTACTTTCTCTGCACACTACACTTCCCTGAGTACTTTGTGAAGGCCTAACTGGCTGCACTACGCATGCCCAGTAAGGAGAGCTGACCGAGGGTCGAACAGCCCAGGAAAAGTTTCCGATGCACATGCGCGTTGTGGCTGCCGGTGCCCCCCTCCCATCGCCTAATACATTTCATAGAGATTCTACCCAGAATGCCTACTCCCTGTATTGTATGGCCCCACCACATCCTCTAGGCTTTACGAGAGCCTAACTTTCCCACCTTTCCCTTCATCGCCTCCCATCACTGTTGAAACTAGGATCTGCTTCTAAAGAGTTTTTTTCCTGGGTGAAGGGAGCGGGCTGGCTTAGATAAGGTCACGACCCCCTCCCCCCACCACCTTAACCAGAATTCCAGGGCCTGGGCGGTCCGTCTGGGGTTGCTGGATGGACGGTGGATTCAAAGGGAAACAAGCCTTTTCACTTAATGCCTAGCGGACTCGGCTTCAACACCCCAACAGCCAGGAAAGGAAAGGCAGGAATCAAACTCAGTTCTCCCATCCTCTCGGCCAAAGAAATTTCCAATCAAGCTGTGGGGAGGTGCCGGGCCTAGGCCAGCAAGGACCAAGCCTCACCCCATTTCTAATCCAACTCTGAGTAACCAGATCCGGGAGAGGGATATAGGAAAAGGTTCCCAGGCAGAGAAGAAAAAAAAAAAATTGTACACCTGACACCCGAGCATCTTCTCATACTAAAATTCTGTGTATCTCCTCCCATGGCAAGGTCTGCTCTACGACCAGACTTAACATCCTCAGCAAGCTCCACTACTGGGTGTTAAACCTCCTTAATCCTTCCTCCCACACAAGCTTCTCCCTGTGCTTCATGGAGGGATGGGGGCAGACGCCCAAGAAAGCAATAGGGTTGTTTTTCTGCTGGAAAATCAGAGATGAGGGACCCATTCCCAGGGTACCGTGGGTGAGAAGGAGAAAAAGACCGTTTAGATATGGAGCAGCACCAGAGACCTGGCCTCTGCCGGCACCCAAGTTGAAGCTTGTTGTGTGTGGGGTTCTGGTTTCTCCTGGGGGAGGGAGAAGGCCTGCAGGCAGTGCCTCCTTCCCCTCCAGATTTCTGGTGGTCAAGGGCACAGTTCATCCTCCGGACAGGAGGGAAAGGAGTTTGCGGGTAGGGCTCCCACCTCACAGGCACCTTACCAAGATAACCAGAATCCACTCACTGGCACTGGTCAAAGGGGACTTTTTTTCTGCCCAGTTTTTCCTTAAAACACTGAAGAGCATAAAGAGCTCAAGCCGAAATGGTGAACTCTAGCTCAGTGGCCCAAGGACAGTCTCCACTGACCTGTCCTGTCGCCAAAGGGGGTGTCCCACCTCCACCATTCAGGCTTCACAGAGCCAGAAATAGAGCCTATTAACAATTACCACCCCCCTTCCCTGCACACGGGAAAACAAGCAGAAAAACAAGGCCTGGATCCCTTTCCTTCCTCGGATTTATTTAACGGTGGGGGGAGTTAACGTTTCTTTGGAGAACAAGGAAGATCTAGCGAGTAGCTGGGATATAAAGAACTGGGGGAGGCGGGGAAGGGAGGAAATGCACCCCACCCAAGAGAGGGCCACTCTTAGAACTGGGAGAAAAGGGAGCTCTTGGGCACCCCAGGAGCAGAGATGGCGTGAGGAGAGGAGCAGGGAAAAGGGGGGTCTAGAGGGGAGCTGGAAGGGGAAAGAAAATGCTGGCCAGGCGAGGGAGGGGGCGGCAGCAACGTGGAGAGTCCAGCAAAGCGGGAGTGGGGCGGGGTGGGAGAGGCGGTCAGGGCAGCTGGGTCTCGGGGCGGGCCCCCCGCCCGCACGCCCCCCCCACTCACTCGGGTCTCCGCGGCGGCGGGGCGCTCTGCCGGCCTCGGGGCGGCTTCTCCCTCCAGGGTGGTCCTGAGCGCGGGGCGGAGGTCTCTTTCCCTTCCTTCCCGGGTGCCGGTGGGTCGGGGATCGAAGTCCTTTTCGTCGTTGAGGGTTGGGGGACGAAGCAGGGGACTATGGGCTAGGACTCTCAAGAATTTCTTTCAGCTCTTAGGAGGTCGGGCTCGGCGGCGTGGGGACGGAGAGCAGGTGGACGGACCAGCGGCGACGGCGCGGGGATGGCGGACTGGAGGGTGGTTCGTGTCGCGGAACGGAAGACGGTCTGGGCTGTCGCCGGCGGGCGGTCCTGCCCTTCTGGCCCCGCGCCGCCCGAGCCACTGGCTTGTCTCCGCTGACAACCCACACCTTCCCGCGCCCCGGCCCGAAGTGAGCAAAGTCAATGAAAAGTTTCACCCTTAGCAACCCTGCGCACGGATCCCGCTTCCCCACCCCTGCGTGATGCGTCCCTCCGCCCTGCAGGGGCGGGGCCGGAGCACGGCCGGGACTACTTCCCAGGCCGCCCAGCGCCTCGGCTCGCTGGTACCGCGCGGAGCCATTCCTCGGCCCCTTGGTGCACGCGGAGCCCTCCTGCTCCTGCCTCCCGCCTTTCCCGCCCCGTCACGGCGATGCGCCGCACTCCTTTTCTTGATTCCCACACCACTCTGAACTCGTGCGCGTTTTGTGAGGTGTTCTCCCTGAGGACAGGCGCTCCGAGAGGGCTGAGGGCGCCCGAGGCCAGGTTGCTCACGGGCCGGACACAGTGCTCTCTTTAGTTGTGTTTGAGGGACGAGTGTCGCGGGGGAGGGAACGGAGTCACCAGGCCCTCCGGGAACTTCCCCGCTGACTCCTCCGCCCTGCACCTGCCTCAGCTTACACGGTTCGGACCTTTGCCCGAGCCATTTCCCGGGGCCTTCCTCCAGCTCCGGCTCCGGGTGTCTGGCCCTGCCCGCGGCCCTCGCATCACCCCAGTTACGGCCTCCGCTGAGGGAGAGCGGAGGGGACGGCGCGGGCTCTGGAAACGAGTCGGACCCGTTTCAGGCAGGCCTGAGCCGCGCTGTGCGGGAGGAAGAGGCGAGGACTAGGCCCACGGCCGAGAAAACGAGCTGAGCGCTACAATAGACCTACCCCTCGCCGCCTCTGGCGCTCCTTTACTCGCAGCCCGGGGGGGGCCGGCGCCGGCTTTGCGCAGGCGCGCGGGCGCAGCCCCTCTCGACTCGGGTTTGTTCTCCTTGGCTAGCGACCCCAGTGTGGGGCACGCGGGAGAGCCACATTTCTTCTAGGCAGTCTCGCTGGCGTCGAGTAGCCCCTGACCGTGCAAGGGGTGCCCGGCTCGCAGCCACTACGGCCCCTCGGGCGGCGGAGCTAGGCCCCGGGAACTCGGGACTGGGCGCACCAGCCCCGCGCCCTGAGGCCCCCTGTCCTGCCTCTGGCCACGCGGGCTGCTCTGCCTCTTTGTGACTGTGCGGGACGCAGAGCCAGGGATAGAGAGGGCTGTGTTCTGGGGTCACAGGCAGACAGGGCTGCCGGAAGATGCAGTCCGGAGCCCCCGGGGAACTGTGCGTGGGGTGTTCGTCCGAGTCCCTCCTTAGATGACCCATTTCCCAGTTCTCCCCTCCCCGCCCCCACCTTTTTGTCATTCCAGACGGTTCCGGCCCAGCAGCAGCCGCCAAGCCCACGTTGGGTGGCGAGATCCGAAAGTTTCCAGCTACGAACGGTTTGCTTTTTTTTTTTTTTTTTTTTTTTTCACGATCGCTTTTTTGGGCAAGGGCAGAGAGCACCGGTAGCGTGGGGGTTCAAATGCGCTTTCCCTGAATGCAGCAGAAAAATGCCGGGCTAGAGGGCAAACTCCACCGAGACTGGGAGGCGGGATGAGCCTGAGCGTCCCCCCATCCCCCACACTCTGAGCGCCGCAACCCCGGGGGCACCTCCAGGGACTACTTGCCTTGTGCGTCAGCGAGTGACAGCGTCACACACACGCCCCCTCCCGCACAGTCCCGCTGCACCCTTCCCTTCCTCATCCCCTCCCCTCCCCTCCCATTCTCTCTTCTCCCCTAGCTCTTTCCACCAGGCAGGGCGGCTCAGCCGATCCACAAGCTCCCAGATCACCGAAAGCTAAAAATATAGCCGGCGCGTTAGCAACAGCCTTTCCATTGGTCAGGGGACAGAGAGAGGCGGTGTCTGATTGGGTTTAGGATCCAGCGTTCGGACTGGGCCCTTGGGAGTGTGCGTTTGCACCAGCAGGCATGGCAAGGGATGCTGGTATTTGTAGTCATTGATTAAGGCAGCCATAGAAATAGGTGGACTTATATCCCAGTTGTGCTACCTACTGTGCGATCTTAATTTAATGCAGCAAAACTCGATTATCACCAAACCTCAGTTTTCTCATCTATAAAATGTAGCTCGTGTGGGGGATTAAGTACGATGCTGTATGTAAAGCCTGGCTCAAATCATTGCTATTCTTAATTTAAAGATAAGTGTTTGCGCCAAGTTGCATCATATCATGCATATCCAGTGCTCAGTATGGTGTGCACTCTCCAATGTGTAACCTCTGACAAAGGTGAAGGTGAGCCGAGGCAAGTTGTCCTAGGGCACCTCAGGTAGGGACAGCTGGAGTACATATAAGCAGTTAAAGGGTGGGTGTCTTTTACCATTCTGGACAGACTGAGGATGGGCAAACTGAATCCTTAGAAGGAAAGCCATGAATTTCTAGGTGTTTGTGCGTTTAATCGAATCTCCTCTGCAACACTGGAAAGATACGAGCCCTCAGCAGCATTATTAGAATGAAATGATAAATCCAGCCTCCTTGGTGGGAGCTCTGGGTAAAAGGTTAGCATGTAAGTAAGAAAAAAATAGAGGCGGGGGAAAAAGGTAACCACCTTTCTTAACTGCTGATGTCTCCATTTATCATGTGGTGAGGAGGAAGTTTTTTTTTTCCTCCCCACTTGTACCCAGTGTGTGATTACATCTTGCCAGGGTGTAATTGTCAGCTAAATGCCTACTGAGGCATTTCAGATTCCCCTCCCATTTTGAATAATCATGTGTTGAAAGGCATGCACCATGCTTGCAAAATGGTGAGCTCCATGAGCAAGCAGGTGAGGCAGGGAGAAGGTGGGGGACACATCCCCTGTCTGAGAGTAAGCAAGATGTGGTGCCATAACAAATCAGGCTGGTCGTAATTGGCCTCAATTAACTCTCAGAGATGAGTCACCCTCTCATACACACTCCAGGGCAAGAAACTTTGTATTGTTTCTTTGAAGTTATTTAAGAGAATAGTTCCTCAATTTGATTTCTTCAGCAGGTGCAAAAGAAATTGGCTTTGGGGAACTGTGGTTGGCTACTGAAGAAAATTTTTTTTTTTTTTTTTTTTGCTGAGCACAGGGGACTTTATTGATGGTACACGACAAGGTGGGGCTCCCTAGGCCCCTCCCTCTTCAAGGGGTCTGCGTGGAAACTGTGAGGAGGGTCAATTCAGAGTGGTGGGGGACTCACTGTGGCAGGGACTCCCCAGCTGTGAGGGCCTCTCTTCCTCTCATGCTTTTGCTGGGGCTGGTGGTCCAGTGGTCTTACTCCTTGGAGGCCGTGTGGGACATGAGGTCCACCACCCTGTTGCTGTAGCCAAATTCATTGTCATACCAGGAAATGAGCTTGACGAAGTGGTCGTTGAGGGCAGTGCCAGCCCCAGCATTGAAGGTGGAAGAATGGGTGTTGCTGTTGAAGTCAGAGGACACCACCTGGTGCTCAGGGTAGCCCAGGATGCCCTTGAGGGGACCCTCCAACGCCTGCTTCACCACCTTCTTGATGACATCATATTTGGCAGGTTTTTCCAGACGACAGGTCAGGTCCACCACTGACACGTTGGCAGTGGGGACACGGAAGGCCATGCCAATGAGCTTCCCGTTCAGCTCAGGGATGACCTTGCCCATGGCCTTGGCAGCGCCAGTAGAGGCAGGGATGATGTTCTGGAGAGCCCCACGGCCATCATGCCACAGTTTCCTGGAGGGGCCATCCATGGTCTTCTGGGTGGCAGTGATGGCGTGGACGGTGGTCATGAGTCCTTCCACGATACCAAAGTTGTCATGGATGACCTTGGCCAGGGGTGCTAAGCAGTTGGTGGTGCAGGAGGCATTGCTGATGATCTTGTGGCTGTTGTCATACTTCTCATGGTTCACGCCCATCACAAACATGGGGGCATCAGCAGAAGGGACAGATATGATGACCCTTTTGGCTTCCCCCTGCAAGTGAGCTCCAGCCTTCTCCATGGTGGTAAAGACACCAGTGGACTCCACCACGTACTCAGCGCCAGCATTGCCCCACTTGATTTTGGAGGAATCTCGCTCCTGGAGGATGGTGATGGGATTTCCATTGATGACAAGCTTCCCATTCTCAGCCTTGACAGTGCCATGGAATTTGCCGTGGGTGGAATCATACTGGAACATGTAGACCATGTAGTTGAGGTCAATGAAGGGATCATTGATGGCGACAATATCCACTTTACCAGAGTTAAAAGCAGCCTTGGTGACCAGGCGCCCAATACGACCAAATCGTTGACTCCGACCTTCACCTTCCCCATGGTGTCTCAGGGATGTGGCTGGCAATGGGAGACAGGATGCGGCTGTCTGTCGAACAGAAGGAGCAGAGAGCGAAAAATCATTTTTAAATTGTTTAAAATTTTATTTATTTTGAGACAGAGTCTTGCTCTGTTGCCCATGCTGCAGTGCAGTGGCACGATCTTGGCTCACTGCAGCCTCCACCTCCCAGGTTCAAGTGATTGTCCTGCCTCTAGAGCAGCTGGTATTACAGGCACACACCACACACCTGGGTAATTCTTGTATTTTTAGTAGAGATGGGGTTTCATCATGTTGGTCAGGCTGGTCTTGAACTCCTAACCTCAAGTGATCAGCCTGCCTTGGCCTCCCAAAGTGCTGGGATTACAGGCATGAGCCACCATGCCCAGCCGACAAATGATTTTTATATAGAATTCACTAAGACTGTGAATTCTAGTAAACAAGGTAAATGAACAAACCTGTCTTGCTAAGATGCTAAACTGCAGGGTTCAAAGAAAGTAACATTTTAGCCTTGGTGGTATCAACAGGTCACTTGGGACAGAGCTGATAAGGAACTGAGTGATTGGGAACAGGTAGAAATAATCAGAGTCTTTTAAAACAGACAAATTCCAAGCAAGGAAAAGAATCTTTTCCTTCTATGTCTTTGCTTCAAACTACAGTTAAAAAGCTACAGGTCAGAATAGAGTGACACATAGTCTCTCTGAAATTTGGTCAGTTCAGTTTGAGTCCTTGGGAAGTTAATTGTAATTCAGAAGTTGCTAATTGGCAGACCAAGGTCCACATCTGGCAGATGTGTTTTCTTGGCACATACTGACATATTACGGTTTTTTTGTTTTTTTGTTTGTTTTGAGACAGAGTTTCACTCTTGTTACCCAGGCTGGACAACCTCCGCCTCCTGGGTTCAGGCAATTCTCCTGCCTCAGCCTCCTGAGTAGCTGGAATTACAGGCATGCGCCACCATGCCCAGCTAATTTTTTGTATTTTTAGTAGAGACGGGGTTTCACCATGTTGACCAGGATGGTCTCGATCTCTCGACCTTGTGATCCACCCGCCTCAGCCTCCCAAAGTGCTGGGATTACAGGCTTGAGCCACCGCGCCCGGCCCATATTACGGTTTTAAAAGTGAGTTGCTGGCCGGGCGAGGTGGCTCACGCCTGTAATCCTAACACTTTGGGAGGCCGAGGTGGGTGGATCACCTGAGGTCAGCAGTTCAAGACCAGCCTGGCCATCATGGGGAAACCCCATCTTTAATAAATAAATAAATAAATAAAGTGAGTTGCCAATATTGAAAATGTGGGATATTGTACAAAAATAGCTTAAGTTGCCACTTGTTCTAAATTCAAAATATCTGGCAACACTGGGTGTTAAACTGGCAACAATTGTCTGGAGTTGAATAGCAGCTGTCTCTTAGACAGGGCTTGTGTTCTCTGGTTGCCTCAAGTCCCGACCACTCCCCTATTGTGTCCCAGACACAGAGGCTGAAGGTCACATACCATTTATCACCACACTTGGGCTATTCTTATACCCCTCCCTTTTCAATTAATGATATTACTCACCCAGACTCCGGAGTTTGTGACCCCTTTTTCGGTTTAATTTAGCAAGTAATTGTTGGAGTGATTGCCTATTGTATGCCCTGGGTGGAAGGAGAGGCAAAAGGAATACAAGGATTTTATTTATGATCTAGTTAGTTGTTGAATAGAGACAGGGTCTTGCTAGGTTTGTTGGCCAGTTTGGTCTTGAACTCTTGGCTTCAATCCTCCCGCCTCCCAAAGTGCTAGTATTATAGACATAAGCCACTGCACCTGGCCTAGTTGTTTATATTTTTATTCCCCTTACTTCATCCCCACCCAGCCCCTCTTCTAGTTAATTTTTTTTTTTTTTTTTTTTTTTTTTTTTTTTTTTTTTGAGACAGAGTCTTACTCTATTGCCAGGCTAGAGCGCAGTGGCGTGATCTTGGCTCACTGCTGCAACCTCTGCCTCCCAGGTTCAAGTTATTCTGCCTCAGCTTCCCAAGTAGCTGGGACTACAGGCACGCATCACTACGCCCAGCTAATTTTTGTATTTTTAGTAGAGACAGCGTTTCACCACGTTGTCCAAGCTGGTCTCGATCTCCTGACTTCGTGATCCACCGGCCTCAGCCTCCCAAAGTGCTGGGATTAAAGGCATGAGCCACCATACCCAACCTAGTTAATTGTTTTTAAACTTGGGGTTTAAAAACATCCCCTAGTCAGGGACATAAAACCTGGTTTAGGCCAGGCACAGTGGCTCATGCTTGTAATCCCAGCACTTTGGGAGGCCAAGGCAGGCAGATCATGAGGTCAGGAGTTCGAGACCAGCCTGGACAATATGGTGAAACCCTGTCTCTACTAAAAATACCAAGAATCAGCCTGGCGTGGTGGATATTGCAGTGAGCCAAGATCGAGCCACTGCACTTCAGCCTAGGCAAAACATGAAAATTCTGTACATAAAAAAAAAAAAAAGCGCCGGGCGCGGTGGCTCAAGCCTGTAATCCCAGCACTTTGGGAGGCCGAGGCGGGTGGATCACAAGAGATCGAGACCATCCTGGTCAACATGGTGAAACCCCGTCTCTACTAAAAATACAAAAAAAAAATTAGCTGGGCATGGCGGCGCGTGCCTGTAATCCCAGCTACTCAGGAGGCTGAGGCAGGAGAATTGCCTGAACCTAGGAGGCGGAGGTTGCGGTGAGCCGAGATCGCGCCATTGCACTCCAGCCTGGGTAACAAGAGCGAAACTCCGTCTAAAAAAAAAAAAAAAAAAAAAGCAACAACAACAAAAAACTTGGCTTAATGGATTTCAGCCAGGAATATTAGAATAGAATGGAAGAAAATGAAAATGTCAGATTATAGCATACACAGTAATATTGTCTCATGAAACTTTTGTTTCTGTTGTATGTAGGTACTAGACATGAAAATAGAAAATAATGCAAATGACAGAAATTTTGGGGTATAGTGCTTCTGGAAGCTTTCATGGGATGTCAGGGACTTGAAAGGAAGGGGTATCCATTTGGCCAGTTGATGGGAAGGTGGAAGGTTATTTCAAACAAAGGAAACAGACAGCCATGGAAAAGACGGGGAGTATTCAAGGGATGTCCCTTCAACTGCCTGATGGAGTGAGGAGGACAGATAGAAGTTAAGTAAGGGCCAGGCATGGTGGCTTACACTTGTAATCCCAGCACTTTGGGAGGCTGATGTGGGTGGATCACAGGGTCAGAAGATTGAGATCACCCTGGCTAACATGGTGAAACCCCATGTCTACTAAGAATACAAAAAAAAATTAGCTAGGCATGGTGGCATGAGCCTGTAGTCCCAGCTACTAGGGAGGCTGAGGCAGGAGAATAGCTTGAACCCAGGAGGCAGAGGTTGTGGTGAGCTGAGATCGCGCCACTGCACTCCAGCCTGGACAGCCAGACTCCGTCTCAAAAAAAAAAAAGGAGACTGGGTGTGGTAGCTTACGTCTGTAATTCCAGCACTTTGGGAGGCTGAGACAGGTGGATCACCTGAGGCCAAGGGTTTGAGACTAGCCTGGCCAACATAGTGAAACCCCGTCTCTACTAAAAATATAAAAATCAGCTAGGCATGGTGTCACATGTCTGTAATCCCAGCTACTCAGGGAGGCTGAGGCAGGAGAATTGCCTGAACCCAGGAGGCAGAGATTGCAGTGAGTTGAGATCAAGCCACTGCACTCCATCCTGGGTGTCAGAGCAAGAATCCATCTCGGAAAAAAAAAAAGGGGGCGGTGGGGGGCGGGTGCTGGGTGTGGTGGCTCACACCTGTAGCTGTAATTGCAGCAGTTTAGGAGGCTGAGGCAGGCACATTGCCTTAGTTTAGGAGTTTGGGACCAGCCTGGGCAACACGGTGAAACCACGTCTCTACTAAAATACAAAAAATTAGCCAGGCGTGTGCCTTTGGTCCCAGCTACTCTGGAGGCTGAGGCAGGAGAATCGCTTGAACCTGGGAGGTGGAAGTTGCGGTGAGCCGAGATCACGCCACCACACTCCAGCCTGGGAAACATAGTGAGACTCCATCTCTTAAAAAAAAAAAGAAGGAGAAGAAGAAAAAGAAGCAAGCAAGCAAGCAAGCAAACCAATAATGGGATTATGAAATTCACAGAGGAGCAGATTTTAGTGGAATTGACTTGGCTGAGGTTGAACTGCTGATCAGTGTGGAGGGGGCATGCCCTTGGAGACACAGAGGCTTATGGACTGCAGTTCAGGTGGTGTTTTGCTGAAACCAAGGGATAGTTTTTGAAACATCTGTAGTTACGAGATGTCACATGGATGAAAGTGGTTAATAAGTAACTGAAAATTTTATTTATTTATTTTTGATAGGGAGTTTTGCTCTAGTTGCCCAGGCTGGAGTACAGTGGCTCACTGCAACCTCCGAGGCACCCATCTCGGCCTCCCAAAGTGCTGCGATTACAGGTGTGAGGCACTGTGCCTGGTCTTTCTGTGTGTGTGTGATGGTGTCTTGCTCTGTTGCTCAGGCCTGGAATGCAGTGCAGTGATCTTGGCTCACCGAAGCCTCTGCCTCCCAGGTTCAAGTGATTCTCCTGCCTCAGCCTCTGGAGTAGCTGGGATTACAGGCATTCACCATTATACCCAGGTAATTTTTGTATTTTTTGTAGAGATGGGGTTTCACCATGTTGGTCAGGCTGGTCTCAAACTCCTGACCTCAAGTGATCCACCTGCTTCAGCCTCCCAAAGTGCTGAGATTACAGGCATAAGCCACCACACCCAACCAAAATTGCTATTTTTAAATTTTTATTTATTTTTATTTTTGAGATGGAGTCTCACTCTGTCTCCAGGCTGGAGTACAGTGGCGATCTCAGCTCACTGCAACCCCCGCCTCCTGGGTTCAAGCATTCTCGTGCCTCAGCCTCCCATGTAACTGGGATTGCAGGCACAGGCTCACCCCAGCGTCTGCCTCCTAGGTTCAAGCAATTCTGCCTCAGCCTCCCGAGTAGCTGGGATTATAGGCGCCTGCAAGCATACCTGGTGAATTTTTGTATTTTCAGTAGAGATGGGGTTTCACTGTGCTGGGCAGGCTGGTCTCAAACTCCTGGACCTCAGGTGATCCACCCACCTCAGCCTCCCAAAGTGTAGGCATTACAGGCATAAGCCACTGTGCCCAGACTGTGTGTGTGTGTGTGTGTGTCTCTGAATCTTGCTGTTGCCCAGTGTGTGTGTGTGTGTGTGTGTGTGTATCTGTCTGTATGTATGTTGTCTCTGAATCTTGCTGTTGCCCAGGCTGAAGTGCAGTGTTGCAATATTGGCTCACTACAACCTCTGCCTCCTGGGTTCAACCGATTGTTGTGCCTCAGCCTCCCAAGTAGCTGGGACTACAGGTGGCAACCACTGCCTGGCTAATTTTTTAAATTTTTAGTAGAGATGGGGTTTTGCCATGCTAGTCAGGCTGGTCTTGAAACTCCTGACCTCAGGTGATCTGCCCACCTTGGCCTCCCAAAATGCTGGGGATTATAGGCACGCCCAGCCACTAGAACCATTTCTGTCAGGCTTCCTTACAGAGTGCTTTGAAGGCAGAGGTAATTTTAATTCAATTTTGGATATTCAGCATATCATAAACAATCAAAAGTTGTTGACCCAAACCAAAACCCTGGAGAAGTCCGAAGACTCATTTTTTTTATCCCCCGGCTTTGCTAAGCGTAGTATAGATTAGACTTGGGTGAAGTCCTTAGATTCCTCAGGACCTGATGCTTTTTTTTTTTTTGAGGCAGAGCCTTATTCTCACCAGGCTGGAGTGCAGGAGCGGGATCTTGGCTCACTGCAACCTCTGCCTCTCGGGTTTAAGCAATTCTCCTGCATCAGCCTCCTGAGTAGCTGGGATTACAGGCATGCACCACCATGCCGGGCTAATTTTTGTGTTATTAGTAGAGATAGGGTTTCACCATGTTGGTTAGACTGGTCTCAAACGCCTGATCTTGTGATCAGTCCGCCTCGAGCTCCCAAAGTGCTGGGATTACAGGTGTGAGCCTCGGAGCCCATACTGATGTTTTTCTACATCTGTGTTATTAAAGACCAACTTGACTTGCTGTCTCAAACTGTCAATATGCCTCCTTGGGATAACTCGTTTATCACAACAGGCAGAAATGACAGTTGAGTTAGGGTAAAAAATGCCTAAATCTGACCTTTGTCTGTTCATTTACTTCTTGGGGCCGGGCGCGGTGGCTCAAGCCTGTAATCCCAGCACTTTGGGAGGCCGAGGCGGGTGGATCCCAAGGTCAAGAGATTGAGACCATCCTGGTCAACATGGTGAAACCCCGTCTCTACTAAAAATACAAAAAATTAGCTGGGCATGGTGGCACGTGCCTGTAATCCCAGCTACTCAGGAGGCTGAGGCAGGAGAATTGCCTGAACCCAGGAGGCGGAGGTTGCGGTGAGCCGAGATCGTGCCATTGCACTCCAGCCTGGGTAACGAGAGCGAAACTCTGTCTCAAAAAAAAAAAAAATAATAATAATAGGCCTTCTCATAATGAAATCTATCCTTAAGGATAGATTTAATGAAAAAATTTTATTTTCCTTTATGAAAAATAAAAATTAAAAAGTACTTTATGAAACAAGTCAAAGTACTCCTATCTCATCAATTTTTCTTTCTCTCCATCATTATTTTACTTTGAGATGGAGTCTCAGTCTGTCATTCAGTCTGGAGTGCAGTGGCAGGATCACCGTTCACTGCAGCCTCACCCTCCCAAGCTCAAGCAATCCTCCCATCTCAGCCTTCTGAGAAGCCAGAAGGTGCATGCCACTGCACCCAACTAGTTTTCATAGAGATTGGTTTTTGCAATGTTGCCCAGGGTGGTCTTGAACTCTTGGGTCTCCCAAAGTGTTGGGATTACAGGCATGAACCACTGTGCCCAGCCTCCACCATTACTGGAAGCGGTCTCTTCAGTTCAAAATTAAAGTTGGACAGGAAGGAAAAAACAGTATGTTTCTAAAAATGACTTTGATTTACCTATAATGAAAGGCACGGGTGGTTTTGAATTCCTTCCAGTGGTAATAAGAGGATAAGGTACTTAACCAATCCCACTACCTCTGTTTAGAATCACAAATTCCTGGGTGATTAAAATAAATTCCTGAAGTGACTACCAGAAAATAAACACCAACTTTATTAATATAATAGCAACAGAAAAGGTTTCCAATTTCTAAGAAGGAAATAACATAACACCAGCACAAAAGAGTAAATGCCTACATTTCTTGTTCTGATCGCTTCCCACCACACACCGAAGGTTCCTCAAGACAGTTGCCACCGGAGCTGCTGCAGGAACATGTTTTTCACTGGGCATAGCTTCACAGTCAACTCCTCAAGCAGAAGACTAAAATATTATTTCTTTTTAGAAGATCTTGGTTGTGGAAGAACATATCAATATGGAGACAAGATCTTTCCTTCTAAAATTCAAGAAACACTACTAACTAATGTATCAATTTTTCTCTGATAGTGTGCCAGAGTGCTCTGTGAAGAATCCTTTTCCATCCATACCCCATGTTTGGGTGAGAGGAGAGTGGAAAGCTGCCAGTACACTAGCAGACATTCCTGGTGATGCTCTGTGCTCTGCTCCCTTTCCGCTGGTAGTAGTAGGTATCTTTTCTGGTAGCTGCAGCACCTTGATGTGGGGGGAAGGAAGAGGCCACCAACGAATCACCTCTTCTTGAAGCCATATTTTTTGCGTTCATAGAAGAGATCTGTCTTAGAGCTCCCCAAATTAACAATCTTTGGGCAGCCATCTCTCTAGAAAACAGAACAGAAAAGTTAAGTCTTTGAGCCTGAACCAAGAGTGAATTAAGATAAAAAATTTAAGCCCAGTGTGGTAGCATGTGTCTTTAGTCCCAGCTACTCAGTAGGCTGACGCAGGAGGATCACGAGCCCAGGAGTTTGAGGCCATAGTAAGCTATGATAATGCCTGTGAATAGCCAGCTACTGTTACCCCACTATGGGCAACATAGCGAGACCCCATCTCTTGGGGAAAAAAAAAAAAATTTGGTTGGGCATGGTGGCTCATGCTTGTAATCCAAGCACTTTGGAGGCCAAGGCGGGTGGATCACCTGAGGTCAGGAGTTCAAGACCAGCCTGACCAACATGGTGAAACCCCGTCTTACTAAAAAAAAAAAAAAAAAAAATTGGTCAGAGTTCAACTTCTCACCTTATTATTTGAAGCCCACAATAAATGGGTTTGCAAATGTGTCTAAACACCAGTATCTCCTTAATTGGGAGGCTGAGATCTATCAGCACTGTTTCTTCCCAATCTCTTTGCACTTACGAAAGACCATTTTATAACTTTTGGATTAATGGTTTAGCCATTTATCTTACCAGTTATCCTATTACCCTATTTGATCTATCATCAGTAATTTTTTTTTTTGACGGAGTCGTGCTGTTGCCCAGGCTGGAGTGCAATGGTGCAACCTTGGCTCACTGCAGCCTCTGCCTCCGGGGTTCAAGCAATTCTCCTGCCTCAGCCTCCCAAGGAGCTGGGATTATAGGTGCCCGCCACCACACCAGGCTAATTTTTGTATTTTTAGTAGAGACCAGGTTTCACCATGTTGGCCAGGCTGGTCTCAAACTCCTGCCCTCATGATCTGCCCACCTGAGCCCCACAAAGTGCTGGGATTACAGGCTAGGCATGGTGGTTCATGCCTGTAATCCTAGCACTTTGGAAGGCTAAGGCAGGCAGATCACCTGAGGTCAGGAGTTCAAGACCAGCCTGACCAACACGGTAAAAACCCATCTCTACTAAATATACAAAAATTAGCCGGGCAGTGTCTAACACCTGTAATCCCAGCTACTCAGGAGGCTAAGACTGCAGTGAGCTGAGGTCATGCCACTGCACTCTAGCCTGGGAGACAAAAGCAAGACTCTGTCTCAAAAAAATAAGTAAAATAACAGCTGAGGTAGGCGGATCACGAGGTCAAGAGATGGAGACCATCCTGGCCAACGTGGTGAAACCCCATCTCTACTAAAAATACAAAAAAATTAGCTGTGTGTAGTGGTGCCCGCCTGTAGTCCTGGCTACTTGAGAGCTGAGGCAGGAAATTGCTTGAACCTGGGAAGCGGAGAGTGCAGTGAGCTGAGGTTGTGCCACTGCACTCCAGCCTGGCACCTGGTGACAGAGTGAGACACTTGTCTTAAAAAAAAAAAAAAAAAATTTACTAAACACCTAAGAATGTGCTCAGAGCCTGCCTACCCTCTATCCCAGGCATCCCCAAACTGCGGCCCCCTGAGGCCATTTATCCGGCACCCCCACCGCACTTCAGGAAGGGGCACCTCTTTCATTGGTGGTCAGTGAGAGAAGCACAGTATGTGGCGGCCCTCCAACGGTCTGAGGGACAGTGAACTGGCCTCCTGTGTAAAAATTTGGGGACGCCTGCTCTATCCAATGACCTACAAATTACACTTAGAATGTTGGATTCTCAGCCGGGTGTGGTGGCTCACGCCTGTAATCCCAGCACTTTGGGAGGCGGAAGCGGGTGGATCATGAAGCGAAGAGATTGAGACCATCCTGGCTAACATGGTAAAACCCCATCTCTACTAAAAAATATGGTACAGTTGAGGTAGAATATGAAACTCTTAAATGTCCAAAGGGTTTTCCTTGAGTGGTTAAAAAAAATGTTAATAATCACTGCAGAACAAGCTGTCTAGCCCTCCTGCACTATCTCAAGTATGGAGAGGATACCAGAAAGGGAAAAAAGCCCAAAAGACTTTAAGAAATAGTACCAGCCAGGCGTGGTGGCTCATGCCTGTAATCCCAGCAGTCTGGGAGGATGAAGCAGAACTGCTTGAGGCCAGGAGTTTAAGACCAGCATGGCCAGAACAGCAAGATACCACCTATTTAAAAAAAAAAAAAAAAAGAAATAGTACCTTACATTTTGAATACCATAGGAGAAAAATGGGTTTTATGTATCTTCATTAATTCACCTTATTTCACATGTGGTCTTTGACACAGAGCACTAGTATGCTAGAGACAGATGACTGTTGACAGACCATGCACTGATCTGTCACGACAGGCTGCCCTGGCCATTCAATGAGTTTGAGTGCTTTCAGTGAAGCCCCTGGGAAGCTGTGTTCTACACAAATGATGACTCCATCAGTTGATTAGAGATGATGGGAAGAAAACCAGGGAAGCTGCAATTGGAAAACCCTTACAGGTATGTTGATTTTACTAAACACCCATGTCAGGGTTTGAGTCCTGTGATATTAGGTGATAGTATGAATTAATCAACTCCTTAGCCATCTCATTTTCTTTTTTTCTTTTTTTTTTTTTTTTGAGACGCAGTTTCGCTCGTTACCCAGGCTGGAGTGCAATGGCGCCATCTCGGCTCACCGCAACCTCCGCCTCCTGGGTTCAGGCAATTCTCCTGCCTCAGCCTCCTGAGTAGCTCGGATTACAGACATGTGCCACCATGCCCAGCTACTTTTTTGTATTTTTAGTAGAGACGGGGTTTCACCATGTTGACCAGGATGGTCTCGATCTCTTGACCTCGTGATCCACCCGCCTCGGCCTCCCAAAGTGCTGGGATTACAGGCTTGAGCCACCGCGCCCGGCTCATTTTCTTTTTTTAAAAAGGATTATTATTTTTTGAGACAGAGTCTTGCTCTGTCACCCAGGCTGGAGTGCAGTGGCGCAATCTCAGCTCATTGCAACGTCCACCTCCTGGGTTCAAGTGATTCTCCTGCCTCAGCCTCCTGAGTAGTTGGGATTACAGGCACATGTCACCACGCCTGGCTGATGTTTAAAATATTTTTAGTAGAGACAGGGTTTCACCATGTTAGCTCAGATGGTCTCCATCTCCTGACCTCGTGATTCACCCACCTCGGCCTCCCAAAGTGCTGAGCTTACAGGCATGAGCCACTGCACCCGGCCAGCCTTCTCATTTCTAATTCAACAAATCTCTTTCTCTGGGGGCTGAGATCAATAACTACAAAAATATCTGAAAACACACAAAGCTAACATTTTAGGACCATGGGTGACAAGTGACTAGATTTTTTTTTTTTTTTTTGGGAAATGGAGTCTTGCTGTGTTGCCCAGGCTGGAGTGCAATAGTGCCATCTCAGCTCACTGCAACCTCCACCTCCCAGGTTCAAGCAACTCTCCCGCTTGAGCCTCCTGAGTAGATGTTATTACAGGCGCCTGCTACCATACCAGCTAATTTTTGTATTTTTACTAGAGATGAGGTTTCACCATGTTGGCTAGGCTGGTCTCGAACTCCTGAATTTAGGTGATCTGCCTACCTCAGCCTCCCAAAGTGCTGGGATTACAGATGTGAGCCACTGCACCAAGCCCCAAAATTTAATTAACTTTTAACTTTTTTCCTTAGGAGTGCAATGAGAAAAAAAAATAAAAGGTTAAGAAATACTGAGTCAGGCTGGGTGCAGTGGCTCATGCCTGTAATCCCAACACACTGGAAGGCCGAGGCGGGCAGATCATCTGAGGTCAGGAGTTTGAGACCAGCCTGACCAACATGGTGAAACCCCATCTCTCCTAAAGATGCAAAAATTAGGCTGGGTGCAGTAGCTCACACCTGTAATCCCAGAACTTTGGGAGGCCAAGGTGGGTAGATCACGAGGTCAGGAGTTTGAGACCATCCTGGCCAACAAGTTGAAACCCTGTTACTACCAAAAATATAAAAATTAGCCAGGTGTGGTGGCACACACCTGTAATCCCAGCTTCTCGGGGGGGTTGAGACAGGAGAATTGTTTGAACCCGGGAGGCGGAGGTTGCAGTGAGCCAAGATCCTGCCACTGCACACCAGCCTGGGATCGAAAAGAGTGAGACTCCATCTCAAAAAGAACAAAAAAAAACAAACAAAAAAACACCAGGCATGGTGACTCACATCTGTAATCCCAGCTACTTGGGAAGCTGAAGCAGAAGTGCTTGAACCCAGGAGATGGAGATTGTAGTGAGCCAAGATTGCACCACTGCACTCAGCCTTGGCAACAAGAGGGAAACTCCATTTCAAAAATAGTAATAATAATAAAGAAAAGAAAGAAACATTGAGTCAGACCACCTAGGTTCTAGTCCTGGATCAGTCACCTATTAGCCATGTGACCTTGTGCCCACCAAGTTGCTTTAACATCTCTAAGCTTTAGCATCCTCATCTGTATCACACATAACTTTTGGAAAACAATGTTCAGCAGAGTACCTGGCATATATTAAAAGCTTCATAAATGTTAGTGCCATTTTTATTATTTTCTGGTTGTTAAGAACTGAGGAAAATGGTAAGGAAAAGGAACAAAGGAGTCAAGACGAAGGAGATTATACAATATGGCACCATAAGAACCTGCAAATTAGTCCTCTGATAGCAATGTCCACAGACATTATCCCTGTCTCCTGGTTATTCTTGTGGCTTTAAAAAATTATAAATGAGAACACCTAGCTTAGTTTACCTGACTAATTCCCTTATAAATTATGAATGTTTCAGGAAGAGAACAATAACAAGGGTTGCTTGGGTTGTAGGCAGGTTTCTTCATAGGAAAAAGCCTTGGCCACTTAATCTACATGATGATCTGTAAGGCTGAGAGCCTGGATCATGTCACTGGACTGCTTTGTGTTCCTTGGAAACTAGTGCTGAAAATGTGAGCTAGATTCCGTCTCAAATATCCTCAGAACTTTCATGTATAATGTCAAGTAGGGGAAGTGACATCTAAATTAAGTCTCACGGACAGAATGAGGCACAAGGATCTAAAGGTATCAGTTCACACACTACATTCAGAGGAGTCAGACAGCAATTAACATTTATTAAGCATTCTCTGGTTGCAATCTTACGCCAGATAAGAACTCTAGCTATGGCCGGGCGCGGTGGCTCAAGCCTGTAATCCCAGCACTTTGGGAGGCCGAGGCGGGTGGATCACAAGGTCAAGAGATCGAGACCATCTTGGTCAACATGGTGAAACCCCGTCTCTACTAAAAATAGAAAAATTAGCCGGGCGCGGTGGCTCAAGCCTGTAATCCCAGCACTTTGGGAGGCCGAGGCGGGTGGATCACAAGGTCAAGAGATCGAGACCATCTTGGTCAACATGGTGAAACCCCGTCTCTACTAAAAATACAAAAAAAATAGCTGGGCATGGTGGTGCGTGCCTGTAATCCCAGCTACTCAGGAGGCTGAGGCAGGAGAATTGCCTGAACCCAGGAGGCGGAGGTTGCGGTGAGCTGAGATCGCGCCATTGCACTCCAGCCTGGGTAACAAGAGCGAAACTCCGTCTCAAAAAAAAAAAACAAGAACTCTAGCTATAACCATGCAAAAATTCAAGAAAATGCTATCTTAACTGCATCGTGTAGCTAGTTTAGACACTATTTGTAACTTTTCTTCACTGCTGTTAGCTTATCATGGTTTCACTGCTTATAGACCAGAATTACCAAATACCTATCATGTACTAGACACCCTACAGGGATACCTCTGGATGACTTACAGGGGCAGCACCAAAACATATGTACCCTTGCACCGTATGTCAGACATTGCACCACAACCTATGGAAAAGGACAGGCAAATAGACAAACCAAAATCCTGCCTCTAATGAAGTGTAATCTAGCTAGCAGACTAGATCTGGATTTCTAGACAGCCGGATATGACTTGACAGTTGAAAGTAAATGCAAATCAGAGTCGAGGACAAGAGAAAGGTCCGAATCACTAACGGAAGTTAGGTTTTTGGCATTTCAGGACCTTTCTCATCCCCTAAACAACAGAAGATAGATGGTGTTCTCTTTTTTTTAAGATGGAATTTTGCTCTTGTTGCCCATACTGGAGTGCAATGACATGATCTTGGCTCAGGTGACTGCAACCTCCACTTCCTGGGTTCCAGCTATTCTCCTGCCTCAGCCTCCTGAGTAGCTGAGATTACAGACATGTGCCAACATGCCCAGCTAATATTGTATTTTTGGTAGAGATGAGGTTTTACCTGTTGGCCAGGGTGGTCTCAAACTTCTGACCTCAGGTGATCCACCCACTTCGGCCTTCCAAAGTGCTGGGATTGCAGGCATGAATCACCGTGCCCAGCCCAACGGTGTAGTCTTATCTGGGCCAATCTCTCCCACTCACTGGGAGTAGGCAGGATCCAAGTGCATGAAACAAGGCACTGGGGTTGTTGCCTTCACCATGGGCACATCCCAAAAGCAATTGTAAAGGGGACACTACAAGAGTTAGTAGAACAGCCTGGGCTTGCCAGAGGAACTATAAAATGGGCATCATAATAGTCATCCCTATTTAACAAAGTTTAAATAAGGAACTAGGTGTGATAACATCTGTAAAAGACCTATTCTTTGCTCATGGGAATATGAAGAATTGTCTATCTTTTGCCTTGTTCTAAATTAGAATTGAATTAGGTAACTGGGTACCATCATTAACCTAGTGGGACAATACCATACTTCCTTTTGTTTTGTTTTTTGAAGAAAACAAGCTGATTCAGTTTCCCACCTAGAAACCTCTGCTGCCAGCACTAACCTAAAGAAATGGGGTAAACCTTGCCTGTAGCACTGGTCTATAAACTCTCTCTCCTGGTTTTTGGCTCAGAGAGTTGAATAATTTAAGTAGCCACTGTCATACACAATGTCAAGGGACAAAAAAAATCACGATGCAAGTCCACAATAATTACTACAATATTAAACCAAAGACATACGTTACCTGCTTAAAGCTGATGTCAACTTGAATTGTCCCAAATTCAACTTTGTCATGATATATACCCAAATAGTGCTTAATGATAGATATGAGGTATTAATGAGTGGCTGTGACACAACATGCACTGTACAGGACTAATTAAACACACAGGGTCTTTATCACCCAGGCTGGAGTGCAGTGGCATGAACACGGCTCACTGCAGCCTTGACCTCCTAGGCTCAAGTGATTCACCCACCTCAGCTTCCCAGGTAGCTGGGACCACAGGTGCATACCACCACACCCGACTAATGAAAAATTTTTTTTTGGCCAGTCATGATGGCTCATGCCTGTAATCCAGTTCTTGAGGAGGCTCAGGCAGGAGGATTGCTTGAGCTCAGGAGCTCGAGACCAATCCAGGCAAATAAAACGAGACCCCATCTCTACAAAAAAATTAGCCAGGCTGGACATGGCAGCTCATGCCTGTAATCCCAGCAGTTTGGGAGGCTGAGGCAGGCAGATCACCTGAGGTCAGGAGTTTGAGACCAGCCTAACCAACATGGAGAAACCTTGTCTCTACTAAAAATACAGAAAAAATTGTTGGGTGTAGTGACACATGCCTGTAATCTTAGCTGCTTGGGAGGCTGAGGCAGGAGAATCACTTGAACCAGGAGGTGGAGGTTGTGGTGAGCCAAGATTGTGCCAATGTACTCCAGCCTAGGCAACAAGGGCAAAACTCCCCATCTCAAAAAAAAAAAAAAGAAAACAAATTAGCTAGGTGTGGTGGTGTATGCCTGCAGTCCCAGCTACTTGGGAAGCTGAGGTGAGAGGACTGCTTGAGCCCAGGAGGTCAAGGCTGCAGTGAGCCTTGCACATGATCATCACACTGTACCCCAGCCTGGCCACAGAGCAAGAGACCCTTTCTCAAATAAAAATGATTATTTTTTGTTGAGATGGGATCTTGCTGTATGGCCCAGGCTGGTCTTGAACTCTTGGCCTGAAGTCATTCTCCTGCTGTGGACTCCCAAAGTGCTGAGATTACCGGTGTGAGCCACCATCCCCAACCAGATGTCTTTTTTTTTCTGAGACAGAGTCTCACTCTGTTACCCAGACTGGAGTGCAATGGCACAATTTTTGCTCACTGCAACCTCTGCCTCCCGGGTTCAAGTGATTCTCCTACTTCAGCCTCCTGAGTAGCTGGGATTACAGGTGCACACCAATATGCCTGGCTAATTTTTGTATTTTTAGTAGAGTCAAGGTTTCACCATGTTGGTCAGGCTGGTCTGGAACTCTTGACCTCATGATCCACCTGCCTCAGCCTCCCAAAGTGCTGGGATTACAGGCGTGAGCCACTGAGCATGGCGCAGATGTCATTTCTGAATAAGAATAATCACAGAGAGACATAAAAAGAATAGAGAGAGGGCTCTCGAAATTGCTGGTCTTGACAAAGATTTGCTTCCCTTGCATTTTCCCCTTGATGCAAAATAACTGCCTTTTATTGGACTCCACCCAGTTTGACTCACAGAACTTGAAGAAATTATAACCTAGATGACTAGATGAACACAGTAATCTCCATAGACCATAGGAGATTGCAGTGGATGGCAAAGTGTTACTAAATAAAAGGAGGAAAGGTCAGATGGAAAGCTGTACACTTACATCCTTCTCCTGGATGGTACACTCCTTACAATAATAGGCATCAGAGACCCCAGGGCCTCCACAGATCACACAGCGCCCCTGGTAAGATCCATAGTTACATTCATCACATATGCGAACCAGAGTGCAGGGACGCACATAGGAGTCACAAATCACACACTTGCCATCACCTGTAAGGAAGAGAATGAAGTCATGCTCACTAGCAAGTTTTTCAGTCCTCTGCTATCTCCTGCCATGGGGAAATATACTAGTCTCCTGGGAAATACACTAGTCTCCTTTTGACAGTGACTTTAGGGCCCTCCTCTTGGGATCACAAAACTCGGTTTATCCAGCATCCATCTCAAGCCCCTCAACACATACAAAAGTTCATCAATTAGCATATGGAAAGAACTTAGAAAAGCACTTGGGAGATGATAAGCCTATATAATTGCTGGCAAAATGTTGTATGTTGGGGAGGGGTCATGCTACTCTGGCGATTCTTCCTGTTGAAAGCTAGAGATAGATACAGCTTTATATGTGCAAGTGGCAGTGGGGAGATGGAGGGGCTTTTGGTTGAAGTCCAGCATCCAGATCCAGGCACATCTACTCAAAGACCCCTTTGTGGCACTTTGGCTGGCTCCACAGAAACTGGGAGTGGGAAGGGTGGGTTGTTGGGACGGTGTGTTCCACTCACATTTTTCACACAGTCTTCCAATGGCTGCAAGATCAAAGACAGTAAAAAGTACAATGAAAGGTTTTGACAAAGAGGGGAAGTACATCCTCGACCTGGGGGCAGGGACATGAACAAGGACTGCAGTGAGCCCTGCGTATAGCCATTTTATCTTTACAAATTTCCACATGAAGCGAACTCACAGCCCCAGTATCCTTCTGAATCTCTTCCAAAGTCCTGAGCAAGCTAAGTTTCTCTAGACTTGGCCCAGATCCCACCCCCGACGCCTGCCTGGGGCTTCCAGCACGCGCACCCCCACCCTCTTTTCATCAGAGGCCAAAAACCTGCGCGCTCCTACAACACCCACGCCTGAGAGGCGGGAAACGTGGCGCCTGAGAGGCAAGACCCTAAGGAAGAGATGGAAACCCCCGAGCCCCCAGATCCTAACACTACCCCTACCCAGATAGCCGGGGGCAGGGCGCAGTCTCACCAACACCAGCCTGTTTCCGGCAAAAAATCAAATCAGGATGATGTTTAGCCATAGTTCCCAACGAAGCCGGCCACCGGAAGCTTCGGGAACTTCCGTCCGACCTTTAATCCCTACGGTTCCTGCCTCCACGTCGTTGTGATTGGTCCTCTAGGCTTCCGTCAGTTTACAATCCTTGCACCAGGCCTCGCTTGCTCTCGCGAGAGTTTTATCGCTGGGCGGTCAGGTCCTGGCAGGTGCGTGAAAGTCTTAAAAACTCCCAGATTTGGGTGGCAGAGATAATTAAAATTTGTTATTGGATAAACATCTCTGTGCTTGGTATTTACTTCTGCAAGTGACTTTAGGCAGTTTTATTTCCTCTTTTTCCTCTTGCGCGTCGGTTCATTACACGTGAGCTCCGCCCACTGCGTTTGCAGGGTTCCGGCGCCTCTAGGCAGGCCCCCGCCTTCACCGTGACGCTTCGTTATTTCGGGCACGCCCCTGCCCAGAGGCTTTAAAACCGCCGTGTGTCACGTCACTTTCACGCGACCTCATCTTTGTCAGTGCACAAAATGGCGCCCTACAGCCTACTGGTGACCCGGCTGCAGGTGAGCAAGCTCAGGGAGCTCTAGGTTCATAGGGGCGGGGTGCCTCCTATTGTGCTGGCGGCTGTGGGTGAGGCAGGGCGAGGCGGGCCCGACCTGGGGCCAGTTTCTCTTGTACTTGTCCGGGTTGTGGGCCCAGCACCGGTGCCCGCTCCTCTGGTGCCCTAGGTCAAGGCGTCCCCCACACAGTCAGCTTTCCTGGCCCTGTCCCCGCCCCGCGAGAAGCGTGGGTCCACGCAGCGGCGTCCAGGTGAGGAGCTGAGGCACCACTTTCTTCTTTTTGAGGAGAGTATTCCCTGCTCCTGTGGAGTGTCTTTCCGTTCCTCAAGGTGAGGACAAGGTGACTAGGGGGCGCGGTCGTTGTTGAGCATTCTAGGCCCAGTGCCTGAGGCCTCACTTCCCATTTCTTAGCAACAGAGACACGACAGCATCTACAGTTGCCAGGCCTGGAGTCTGGAGAAGAAACTAGGACCCCGTACCACCTTTTGAGGACTCTGCGGAACAAGGAATGCCTGAGGGGTCTTCTGGGCCCCTGCGTAGTGTATAATAATAATAGTTTCTCACCTTTGCACAAGATTTGAAGACTTTTAATTCTTCCTAATATCATTTGATTCATGTAATCATAGGAATGAGATGGTTTTTCTTATCTGATAGGTCATAAAACTGGTAGAAAGTAGGTGAAAGTTCTGGTTCTGAGTGTCACTGAAGTGCTGTGACAGAAGCATAAGCCCTACCACCACTCAGTTCTTGTTTATGCCAGTTTGCCCTCACAGAACTTTCTGAACCATGGTGCTATCATTTCTGTTTGTCAGAATGCAGAACGAGTGTTTTGAGCTCATAACAAGTTGCTTGTCAAATATGGGAGGATAGGGAGACTCCAGTTTGACCTTGACTTCCCTGTTAGGAGCTATCTAGAAAGCTGACTGTGACTGCCAGACGGTTTTTTCACTCCTAACTTGACAGCCCTGGGAAGGTGTTACAATCAAAGGTTCAATGTCAAATGTGTACTTTGTTAATAAAAATAAAGCAAGCAAGCCTCTGTAGACGTTCTCTGTCACAGTTCACTTTGTGAATCTTTTTTGGATCAAATGGCACAACTTTGATAATAGAATTTTACAAGTTATGCGTTGTACTCTCAGGAAACATTGTGGTTCTTTATTTTTCATCACATTGCTTAAATTTTATCGTATGGCTTAAAGTAAAATCATTTATCTGAAAATATTTCTAATCCCAATTACTGGCAAAGGCAAGGGATTTGTACTTAATTATCTCTTCACATCTTTTTTTTTTTTTTTTTGAGATGGAGTCTTGCTCTGTCGCCCAGGCTGGAGTGCAGTGGTGTGACCGTGGGTCATTGCATGGGGATAAAACCGGTGGCTATATGGGGGCACCTGATTTTCGTAGACTGCCCTTTCAGGGCCCTCATCCTTTCAGTGTCCTTCCTTTTTGCACATCACACATTAATTTCTCTCTAGTCTGGGCTGGGTTTCAGACTACCGTCTAGCCATACCTCTTTCTCTCCACATCCTCCTCAATGCCCTCTTATTACTCCAGCTCCTCTCTCTCTCTTTTTTTTTTTTTTTTTTTTTTTTGAGATGGAGTTTCACTCTTGTTGCCCAGGCTGGAGTACAGTGGCACAATCTTGGCTCACAGCAATCTCTGCCTCCTGGGTTCAAGTGATTCTCTTGCCTCAGCCTCCCAACTAGCTGGGATTACAGGTGCATGCCACCATGCTTGGCTAATTTTTGTATTTTTAATAGAGATGTGGTTTTACCATATTGACCAGGCTGGTCCCAAACTCCTGACCTCAAATAATGAGCCCATCTTCGCCTCCCAAAGTGCTGGGATTACAGGTATGAGCCACTGCACCTGGCCTCTTCATGTCTTTTGATTGTCGAGGTAAATGATGTGGAAATAGTTGTTTCTTCCTGTTCTGTGATTTAAGGGAGTCAGCAAGATTATTTGTTGAGATAAATGATTATAGATTTCTTGAACTTGGAAGAGAAGAATGATACCACACCATTTTTTAACTGAAAAGGGTATTGGAAAGTATGATTATTAGACTGGTGTAGGAGATCTGGGCTATAGTTCATTCTCTTTCCAGAGTCTGTGACCTTGAATAAGTTACTTCCTGAGTCCATTGTCTGTCATTTGGGGATGATCTTCATTGAGCAAATGTGTATTCAGCAGCTGGATGTTAGAAAGTGATGAGCAAGGCCAGTGGCTCACACCTGTAATCCAAGCACTTTGGGAGGCTGAGGTCAAGCCACATTACAGGTGTGAGCTACTGAGGTCAAGAGATCGATTACAGGTGTGAGCCACTGAGGTCAAGCCACATTACAGGTGTGAGCCACTGAGGTCAAGAGATCGAAGCTTCCTGGCCAACATGGTCGAACTCTGTCTCTACTAAAAATACAAAAATTAGCTGGGCATGGTGGCACGAGCCTGTAGTTCCAGCTATTCAGGAGGCTGAGGCAGGAGAATCGCTTGAACCTGGAGGCGGAGGTTGCAGTGAGCAGAGACCATGCCACTACACTTCACCCTGGCAACAAAGCGAGACTCCGTCGTAAAAAAAAAAAAAAAAAAAAAAGAAAGTGATGAGCAAGTAGAATGTGTTTATGACCGTCATGTGGACTAACCCCCTTTTTTACAGGTGGAGAATCTAAGACCTTGAGAGCCTCAGTGACTTCCAGTAGCAGAGTTAGGATTAAAATCCTGATCTCCTTGTTTTTCCTTTGGCTAAGATGAATTAACAATATATGCAGTTTGCATACTGCTTCCCAATAACCAGGCTGTCTCAAGTAACCAGCTAACATAGTTTCTCTGAAAAGCTTGTAAATTAACCTCTTTTGTGCTTAGATACATTTGAGAAGTGATGGTTACTATCTTAATAGTCATGTTTGCAAAACCCTATCCCTACAGTCAAATTATTTCTACTTCATTCACCATATATTTACTGAGTGCCCACTGCTAGTTCTAGATAGTGTGGTAAGTAAAGACAGTTCCTGTTCTCATGGAGCTTCCACTATATTTTAATGTATCTGACTGCAGAGGGCCTTGGAGATCTTTCTCAGCCATATACAGAATTTTTCTTTCCTTGGCTGGACCAAAGGTGAAGGTAGATAATAGAATGATGGATGTTACTACCAGCACTAAGAGTACCTAACATTTATCTTACTGTGTACCACTGTGAGATAAGGCAGACCTATTAGCTTGATTTATAGATGAAGAAACAGGATTACAGAGCAAACATAGCGTCATGGTTGAGGGCTTGGACACTGGTATCAGACAACCTAGATTTGAATACTGTAATAGCTCTAATACTCACATAGCTGTCATTTTCAGTAAGTTACTCAAACTCTCTGGGCCTGTTTCATTGCCTTTGGATATGATAATAATAATACATCTGTTTCAATCATGTGATAGTTGCAAGTATTTAGAACCCCACCTGGTACTTAGTAAGGGTAATATGATAAATTTACCTAGGGCCTTATCACTAATTGTTAGTAGGTATGATTTGAATCTGCACACATCTGATTAAGAAGCCTGAGGGCTTAGCAACTAGCACTATACTGCTTCCCTTTGGCATTGAGCTCAGCCTGTTGATCAGGGCATGATCCATAACCTGGGAATAGTGCTAAATTGAATGTGTACTGTTGTTTGACAGTACCTGCTATTAGGTAGTAAGGTTAGAAACAAGAAAATAGGAGGTGAATTTTTTTTTTTTTTTTTTTTTTTTTGAGACGGGATCTTGCTCTATTTCCCAGGGTGGAGTATAGTGGTGTGATCTCAACTCACTGCAACCTCCACCTCCCAGGTTCAAGCAATTCTTCTGCCTCAGTCTCCCTTGTAGCTGGGATTACAGGTGTCTGCAACCACGACCGGCTATTTTTTTTTGATAATTTTTAGTAGAGACGGGGTTTCACCATCTTGGCCAGGCTGGTCTTGAACTCCTGACCTCGTGATCCATCTGTCACAGCCTCCCAAAGGGCTGAGATTGCAGGCGTGAGCCACCATGCCAGGCCTTTTTTCTTTTTTTCTTTTTTTAAGAGATGGGGTTTTCACTGTGTTGCCCAGGCTGGTCTCAAATTCCTGGGCTCAAGCAGTCCTCTCACCTTGGCTTCCCAAAGTGCTGAGATTACAGGTATGAGCCACTGTACCCAGCCAAGGAGGTGAAATTCTTGAAAAGCCATATTTACTGTCTGGTTTTTAGCATTTCTTTTTGTGCATATGACTATGAATAGTACACAAGAGGGGTTGAGCAGTTGCAAATATGTTTATTAGGTGTTTGGTTTTGCCTTGAGGTAACTGTGGTGCTGAGATTTCATGTGAACTTGAGGGGAAGTTATGTAACCTCTTGTATATAAATTTGTGATGGCAGTTAACGACAAACCCAACATATTTGGCAGAAATTCTCTGTGTCATGTTAAAATCTGGCCCTGTGCTGTGGCTCACACCTGTAATACCAGCACTTTGGGAGGCCGAGGCAGGCGAATCATGAGGTCGAGATCGAGACCATCCTGGCCAACATGGTGAAACCCCG